AATGCAACTTTCGAAGACATATCTATCTTGTTTAGGGATTCCAATCAATGCGAGCCTAACATTGAGGCTCAGAATGGCTAATCCACGCTGTGGTCAAATTGCTTCTAGCTTGAATTATGCGGCATTTGACCCAAACACTGACCATCGCCATGCTGCTGGAATATTCAAAAACCCTACTAACATTCGTATAAATAAAGTATGGGCAGGTCTCTTTTCGGAATTGACATGGAATACTACATACATTTTGTTTAGAGAGCGGACAGAGATGCGTTTATTTCCAAATCCCGACATAATCTAAGCGTGGAATATGTTTCAAAGTTTACGAATAAATTATTGCAAAACATCAAAACACGAAAGGAGATAAAAGATTATAAACAACTATGTTTACCATTAACCTACTTTCTGTTGTGCATTTTGCAACCTTTTCGTCTGCCCATATATATATATATTTATATTTATATTTATATTTATATTTATATATATTGTAGTTAGAGCTATAGTCATTTTCGGAGTACAACAGCGTTGGCGTGATGTTTGTTTTATTACCAACCGTCATTTGGAGAACGTGTGCTTAGCTTATTCTTCAAGGCAATTGTGCTTTCTGCATCACTGTTGAGGCACATCTTCCTCGTAAAAGAGGATGAAGAATAAAAAACGGAAATTAGGTAATTTGCAAGCTCGAAAAGGCTATATGGAATAGCATTATAAGCAGACATTCAAACCCGCTTAACTTCATAGCTTTAGAGTATGTCATTCTAACACAACTGGAATGCAAGTAATTACGTCTACAGTAGCGGAAGATTTGTGAGGCTGCGGCCTTCACACAAGCTCTTTCGATTCCGTGTCAGTCGCCTCTTCATCGACCCAAGTGAAAGATGACATGATTATCGCGTGTTTTACTGCTTACCTTGTGATTTTGAGCTAAAACTGATTAAACCCGGGAAGTTGCTTGGTTCTTATTTGCTGTTGCGAACTTCATCTTCCCGATATCGAGATTCCTGATGTTGTAAGATAAGTGGTGTAGCAACGAGAAAGTGAGATGCTATGCTGTAATGTTCACTTTACTAGAAATGTAACTTAAAAGGGTTTTACTACTAGCTCATTACATGTGACTTATGACCGTTGAATTTCAAAAAATCACATGATATTTTCAGTTTTGTAGCGACTTCCAAGATTTCAATTTGTTTTTATTCGAAAGTGCTTTGATAATTTTATTCTATACCCTGGATTTTTCTTGACTCACACCTCTCAATCATTCCTCCTTACGGCAAAATTTGATCATTGAATTCAAATCAGTGACCTTCGCTTCATATGAATCTTCGTGCGCTGTCTAGAACATGTTCCCTCGAGTGTATGCTTGAGCATGCTGGTATCGTTCAACGTTAGTTTTTAAGGTATCGTCCCGGTTTCCAATACATGCTACATTATTGCTCGTAGAAACCGGGAATGATAGTGGATTTGGTCAGCGCTGCACGTCAAGCAAATTGGGAGAATGCTCGTGATTTATTATATCGTCACTGGGGTTCTGAATGCCCAAAACTTTACGCACCCAATCCAGACCATCCTTGGGAAATAGCACAGGATGACAAGGATATAAGTGAGAGATCTAATTATTTCAGTTTTTTAAATGATGTTTGCATAAGTCCATGGCTGACTTTAAAAGTATTCATTTGCTTGAACAAGTTCGATGTATTCCAGTCGCTTAGAAGAGGAATTTGCAATAATCTCGTGTTTCATTCCTTTCGAAGAGCATAGATTCCAGATAAGGCATTGTTTGTGCCGTTGGCTGGTGCATTCTGTGCAGATTCTGCTGTTACGGACTCATCCCTTCGTCCATTGATAGAGAAGACCGGCCTTTCGGCTGAAACGCGGCGGCCTGGTCAAATATGTGGACATGTGTTCAAGAATGGAGAGCTTACATATAGTTGCAAGTGGGTCCAGCTTTTGAACAGAATTTTTTCAACAATTTTTGCCTTTTCTTTCATCTGCATGCTTTACGTTTAAGGGTTTCATAAAGTGTAAAAGGGGTCTGATGTTTAGTTACATATCTAGTGTGCTGACTTTTATACATTATCGAAAGGGAATACGGAGTCAATTGAGCTGCAGTAACGCCTATCAATTCGAACTGTTTTCACGTCAAAAGCTGCCGAAAATTAGCACAGAGAAAGATTTTAGCTCTAAAAGGTTCGAGTATTAACATGCGCATCAGAGTTGTAAGCAGAGATCTTGTTTCATTTACGACCTTCTTTCTTGTCTTCCAACGTCCTACTAAAAAGTGCAAGAACGAG